CAAATTGTGTCAACAAATGACTTCTATTTTAAAAAGTAATGCTAATGCATTCATTTTCAAAGGAACACTTCCAAGCTCTGTAGAATTTGTGTTCTGGATGGCAGAGTGTAACTGGAGTGCTGCACATTTCTCATTAAATATATGATGTGTGCATGTGTTTGGATATATTTCTTTTGGTGGCATTGCCCTAGTGTTGTAATCAGCAGCATCCATCCATAAGCAGAATAGATTCTTTCTCACTTCCTGTTTTTTCATATACTCTACACGTTTTAGATGAATTGAAAATGACTGAAATGATCAAATGTAAGTGTTCACACTATTGAAAAGGAAAGGAAAACATAGGGAAGTGTCTACTATAGCTTTTGGCATCATCTGACTGATTATTTTGCTACATCCCTGCTATTTTAATTTCAGTGGGAAATATGAATGAAAAACATAATAATACATTAAAATATAGCAAAAAGGGGGATGGGTATCATTATGTGTGTTTTAATTAATGCATAGTGGTAAATGGCTTAGCATGTTGAACTCCCCATTGCCACCAGGAAATCTGCTTTGGTAAGTGAACTCTAGCAAATTGGTATCAGCGGGAGACCAGGACAGGTCATGAACTTGTAAATTCTTATTCAAGACATTGTTATGACTCTTGGGCCTTTCACAAAGTAGATACATAGAATTGAGACCAGAAATTTAGTGGCCTGTCCTATTTTAGAAACCTTATAACCCACATTAAGGTACATGTATTTGGAAATAAGTCCACCGATTAGGATCAGTGCTTTATTAAGACTTGCTACATGAACCTGTTAGGACTTAAGCCATTGTCACTTACTGTACTTCATGTTTGTTTTTACCATCAGTGACAGCTTATTATAATTTACTTTGGAAACCTCCTTGACTGAATTTTTACTCTTTGTTATTGGTTTTTTTGTTTTTTATTCTTTTAATAATTAAATGTCTGCCTGGATTCTCCATTTTCATTTCCTCAATACAGCGCTTTTTGAAAATGGTCTTTTCTGACAATTCAGCTAAGAATGATAGGGGCAATGCAGTGAACCGCCAAGAAAATGTCAGTTACAGGATGACTATAGGAAGGAAGGAAGGAAGGAAGGAAGGAATTAATTACTTAGTTAATTAATTAATTAATTAATTAATTGTGAGCATTGGCTGCTATTGAGCCAGTAATAGATTAGGTCCTTATGCAAACAAGAACTTTACACTCTTTGACATGATATAATATGTCTGAGGACAGGAAAATTGGAGAATGCCAAATAGCCTGTAAAAAGCCATGAAGTCATACATCAAATTTTGAGCTTTTTAAAATGCTCCTCTGGCTGGATAAAAAAGAAAAATGGGTTAAAAGAAGACATGTTATCCTTGGAACCACCACCATGAGCATTGTTTTTGCTGTAAAATGGTATGCAGCCTCCCCTACTAAAAAAGCCCATCCTTGTGCACATGTTTAAAAAAATGGAGATATACAATTTAAGAAACAACCACTACCCTCAAATTTCCAGGCCTGGTGGAGTTGCAGTGGATCCTAGGGGTGCAAAACTGGCCTCTAGATGCTCCTAAGCTGCTCCTCTCCTGCCATAGTTGGTGGGTTTAGAACTTCTGTGATTACTGGATATCCCTAAGTCCAGGCTTCATAGCTTGTGACTCACTAGATGAAACACAGACCACCACTGAAGTGGAACTGGCCAAAATTTTCTGTTTATAGCTACTGAGGTACAGTTGAACAAGAGCAGCCTAGGGTAAAGCAAAAGTGGGAGATCAGATAAGGACAGAAGTTAAAGGCAGCTGCAACATGTCAGTATGATATGAGAAAGCAAACAGTAGTCCGGTCTGGGTCTGTGACCTACAGTTCAGCAGGAAGGCATGGTGGGAAAATGGATGGGGACTTGTTCGTTAGCTATGAAAAGAGGATATAGTGAAGCTGGCTCCACTGGGCCAGAATAACTCATAGAGCCAAGTGGGCTCACAAGAGATAAATTGCTGTGTTTTGACACCCAGCTAAAATATCAAAATGGCCACTTCTTTCTAAACAAAAGTGGCCATTTTGATATTTCAGCTGGGTGCCAAAATTTCCAACAAAGGTTGGTAAACATCTTGCACATGTCCTCAAAAATAGGTTTCCTAAATTTGATGGGTCTTACTCCCTTATAAATTATTTCAGGCATAAGGAAATATAAGGCAAAATACAGAAATGCGTATTAGGAAAGTGTAACCAGAGTAACCTTTTGACCTTTTAAACCTTGGAATAAGATGATCAGTACAATACGTACTATGTTCCATTTGAAATTCAGTCTTGATGTGTTTTCCATATTCCTCATTCCTCTTAGATTTATTTTATGTCTTACATGGGGGAAAGGAGGGAAACAACATATAACTCAATAAATTATTTAAAATGATCTGTAGAAAGTTAATCCGCCTAGCTAACATGATCAACAACGGAAAATGCCATTGGGATATTTTCCCCTGTAATATTCCTTTCAGAATTTTTATTGCATTTATCATGTCATAAAAATTCGAAGAGAATCTGGTCTCCTGCCTCTTGAAAGCAGACAAAGTTTTTTAGTGCATGTAGTTGCATGGCTTTGAAACTTCTCTTGTGTGAATTTTTATTTTTTTGGGTTGTGTTTCACTTGATTACTGAACAGAAATGAATAAACATTTCCATTGTTGACAGCCTTAGTAATGAAGGCCTTTGTAGCAACGAAGAATCACCCGGTGCAAAAACACTTTCGGTGTCTCCAGAGGTAACAACACTGGAAAACATCCCGTGTGAAGAAAAAGAAGGAGGAGCTATATCTGGCTTCCTGGAATGGGCTGAAGGAACAAAAGACAAAAGACAAGTTGACTGTGCCAAGGAATGTGCTGCTTGGAGTCTTGAGGGTAGCGCTGGGGAACTGCCTACCCTGGTGCCATCTATGAATTCTACAAAGGACAATGGCAGAAGTGCTGTTCCTGATCTATATCTGGACAGCGGCTTGAATGTTGAGCTGTCTGCTACCACTTTTGCAATACGGGATAAAAGAGATCCTGATAACTCTAGCTCAGAAAATAATTCCTCAACAGATGTCACTTGGATGTCAGGAGCTGGGGTAGCACAAACCATTTCAAGCGAATTAGACCCATTATGGCAGATTGAACAGCTGAGTGACAAGACAAAAGCACATGTTATCTCATTACCCGAGAGGGAAGGGGGAGGTTGTTCTATCACTGAAGGGAACAGCCAGGAGGCAGGATTTTGGGAAGTGGGTCACAAGGAAGAGGCACTGGCAAAACCAGGTGGACAGGACACAGATGGTCTAGACAGCCTGTTAATGGAGCAGGAAACCTTAATCCCAAATTATCCCACCATGGGAGGTTCAGACATGAAAAAATATGGAGCAGTTGTTGATGGCCAGAGTTCTGTCAAGTGTGGCGATGCCACCAGTGAACTCAAGAGTGATGCTGTAACAAGCAAAAAATATGAACTCCAGGAAGAGTTTACTGAGCAGAATAGTCAGCAGTCTTACGCAGCTCCTGTTATGCCCTTGAACCCATCAAATCTGTCTCTGAAAACTACAGTAGAAGCAAAAAATGAGAGTTCTGTATTTGAAAAAGAACAGCCAGATCAAACTGAAAGTGAAAAAACAGAAGGCCTATTATTTACAGAAATAAAAAATCACAGTGTGGATTTACTAGTTAGCTGTGGGCCTTCTGCTGTGTCCTTATTGCCTGATGAAAACCAGAAGCAAAAAGCAAGCATTGTGTCTGAGAACAGAGGAGAGCAAGTTGGCAGCAATGAAACCACACACGTTAAGGATGTGAGTGGGGGAAACGTCACTCTAGCTGACCCAGAAAATCTTACGTGTTTTATGAAGGAAGATTCCATTAAAAATAAAAGATCATCACTGGTGGGAAGTGTAAGAGATTTTGCAAGTGAGAATGAGCTTACCACACACATTAAAAAAGAGAGTATAGTACCTGAGAAAAACAAAGATGGTTCTTTGGGAGATAGTGGAAGTCAAGACAGGCTGGACGTAGCAAGTTTGAATACACAGAAAGAGGCAAACTCTTTCCAAGGGGTGCCGCTAAGCTTTGATATTGACAAAAGGCAAGAAAGCCCCGAGATGCACTGGGAGGATTACTTTTTCCAAAGTGGTACCAGTGGTAAAGATTTAGAAGCAGACTTTGGTGCAGAATGTCGTCTGAGAACACCTTATGACCATTCACCTGAATTAAGTCAAGGTTCAGAGAGAAAGAAAACAGTCCCATATGAAATAGAGGATAAAAGCCTTCTCTCTGCTGAAGCGCAACAATTACAAGAGCAAAAACGTTCACAAAGCGGCACCCTTTTACCAGAAGGCACACTACTCAACTTTCCAGCCAGTGAAATGACAGGGAAAGTTTGTTCAGCAGATGCGCATGGTTCACTGGTGCTGCACTCGGAGAACAACATTGTTATGCAAAACAAGCGTGATGAATCCTGGGAGCACACATTTTCTCAAAGAACTGAATGGGAGTTGGAAGGCCACACTACGCATGAACTAGCATCTGAAAGCAGCGCAACATCGGCAGAAATAACACGAGTTCCTGAAGCAGAATTGAAGCATCAAAACTTAGATGAGTGGGCCAAGGTTGCTGAATCCACTGCAACAGAAAAAGCACAAGTCCAGGAAGATACACCTCTTTCTGAAAGCAAAGCATGTAGCCCAATGGTTTGTGGCGATGCTGACAGTGTCCCTGTGACTGTTCCGGAACAAAGCAATGATGTGGATCAGAAAGAAAGTAATGAACCTGATCAGGAGGAATACGAAGCCGAAATGAAAAGTCAGGTTGTTGACATGACGTTGGCACAGAAACCCCAAAGCAAAGTGAACTCCCTGCAGCAAGCAGAGCAGGAACAAACGAGTGAAGAAAATGACCAAAGTCTGAAGAAATTGTATTCAGGCAGCCCACAGGCATCGGTGAGCATTGTGGAAACTGGTTCCCTGCAGCCAACATTTAGAGGCGTGCACAACAGCAACTTAAAAGAGAATAATCCAGAAGAGAGTAATGATGGTAAAGCATCTCTGGAAACTCTTCAAGGGGAAGCTGGAGAAAGGCAACAGGTGGTGGCCATTTTGATGCCCTCTCCACAAGTGGAATCTAAAGTTAGTCCAGAGTCCCCTGGCTCCATCTGCAGTAATCAACAGCACACTGCAAAAACAGAACTCAAAGATTCCAGTCACAACAATCTTCCAACAGCAACAAGTCCTGGAGAACAAAAGCACAATGAAACACCTCCTGCACTGGAGTTAAATCAACCCAGTAGCCACCAGGGCATGTGTGAAAGTGAACGGACAATAACAGGAGATGTTTTTGATAAACCCCAAACAGTGTCTGTTGGATTCGAGGCGAAGCCAATTGATCCCGAAGCTCTTCCAGTTGAAAAGGCATCTTGGTCAAATGTATCTGAGTCTGCAAGAGACAGTGTGCAAGACAGGCGCCTGACAACTCAAATAAACCAAAAAGTAGAAGAAAGTTTTCCTAGCAAGGGAGCCTTAAGTGAGTTCAGGCAGGAGGTTTATGATTCTCTGGATTCAGAGAGTCTTTGGGAAGAAAAAAATCTCAGCTATGCCTTTGCCAAAGTGCCTGATACAAGCAAGCAGCCAAGTAGTTTATGCAATCTGACAGGCAGCCCAGATGAAAGTGCTGTTGGTGTTACAGAGTACGTTCCAGAGATGCAGAAAACAGTCACTGCCAATGCTGAACAGCCAGAGACCTTGCTAGTGGGTTTTGAAATAAATGGCTCTGATGACAATTATAAATCGAACAGCGTTGACCTTAACCTACCAACAGAACCGGAAGAAAAAGGTTCAAACATAGAAATAAATGAGAATCCAAGTTTAAAGGAGGAAACCACCCCCAAAGATGAACCTGGAGAAATAAATTATGAAAAGGAGTTGATTTTCACAGCTGCTGAAAAAGCAGGAATACAGAAATATCCTCCTGTGTCATCTGGACTCACAGTAATCCCTGCCAGTAGTACTTTGCACAAAACAGACCATATTGAAAAGCTGGAGTTTCTACCTGTTGGCTCACAAGCAGAACTAAGAGGGCTTTCTGTGCCAGCATTTTCACATGATCAACAAACCAGAATAAACCAGGAACCTACAAATGGCATGAATGATGTCATTGTGGGCGAATTACAAAACAAGGAACTCGAAGTCACAGCCTGCCAAAATATCTTAGGTACCACTCCCAGTTTACAGACTGTTGCTGGAGCTGCTACACCCATACACCTAGGTGATGTTTTAGCAGAGGAAGGCTCAACAGATCAAAGAATGTCTGAAGTGCTAAATTCAGACAACATTCCTTCAGAGACAGTCCCAGAGAAAAAGTGTGTGATTCCAGACCAAGGGTCCCAATCAGAAGAGAGTGCACCACTGGCAGAAATTCTACCAGCTCCCTTGCAAGACTCTTGTGAGACAGGGCAGTTAGAAGGAAGTTTGTCACCATTTAATTTTGAGAAGCTGCAGACTGAGATCTCTGCAATTAAAACAAAAGGAGCAAAAAGTGATGTAAACTTCAAAGCCCAGCAGTTTGACAGCTCGGTAAATTCTCTCTTCAGCCTTTCAAGCTTAGAAGAGAAGCTTCTAAGCCTTTCATCTTCTGGTAAGCAAGCAGGCTGTAATGAGGGTACGGCAACAAATATCGGCTGTGTAGATGACAAGTGCAGTACGATCACAGAAAGCACAGGGAAAGCAGGAAACAGCAAATGCACTTTTGCAGAGGATTTCAGCATCCCCAAGATGGAAATAGAGACCTCCAAGCAGTCCACAGCGACTTCCGAAAAAGAGCAGAACGACCTGTCTTCCAGGACCTTTGGCATTGGCTTTTTTGATTTCAGAAAGCATATAAGCAAAATATTTGAGAAGACAGTGCCAAGTGCTTCGACAGCAGAGTTGGCTCCCCTTTCAGCTGAAACCAGTACAGGTGAAGGAGACAGCCTGGCAGCTAAAGAAATAAGTGAGTGCAAGCATGGATTGAGCAAAGGGGATGAAGTCAACAGAAATAGAGAAGCAGGCTGTGACCAGACAACAGAAGGATGCATGTTACCATCAGAAGCTGGGGCACTTGAAAGATCTGCTGAGGAAAAGATATTGCAGGGGGGAAAGCCAGTGACAATCACTCCAGAATACTACTTGCCAGGTGCCTTTTCGGAAGATATCACTATCCAGAAATCCTGTTTAAGTGAAGAACCTTTGACAAGTGCACCAAAGGTAGACTGTCAGGTGGATAGCTTGAGCAGTAGCAAGGGGACAGCAGAAGAATGTGGATGTGTTAGTGCTATAAGCAGTGACAATGATGTGAATCAGGTGAGCTTGGAAGCAGAAGTGCAGCATCCAGTAAATTCTCATACCTCAGAAACAGATCATTTACTGTCTGGTAATGAAGTCTCTTTATGTATCTTTGCCTCAAAAGGAGAGGTTCTAGAGAGTGATTTTGACAAAACAACAATGGCAGAAGTGAAGGAAAGCAATTTAATTAGTCAGTGTGACACAGGTTTATCTAAGGAAGAGCTAATACATTATGGAAACCAACAGCACTACCCAATGCCTGGTGAAGACAAGGGAAATGAAGAGAATGTTGTTGATTTAGGTGACACATCAGCATTGCCATCTCTTCTTGATAGTCTTGATGTTCACCAAGAACAACAGCCCAGGATATTGCCTGCGGAAGACCAGCAAAACTCCACCTGCAGTGATCTTTTGGATGAAAATACAGTTAATGACAAAGTATTCATGACACCAAAAGCCCTGGAATGTACAGAATTCTTGCCCATTTTAGTTGATGCACCAGAACAAGAGAAAATACAGGACACAGCAATACATGGATTAATAGATTACCTCAAAAATGAAATGGATCCTAATGGTTCCTCCATAGGTGATGGCAAACCAGAACACAGCAGTGTGAGTGAGGCTGGTGTAGAAGAAACAGATGACACCAAGTTGAGCACCATAGAAAATGAACCATGTATTTCTATTGACACCCCTAAAACAGGTATTACAGGGACATTATTCACCAACGACCATGACTCAGTTTTGCAAACTACCAAATGCAAACAGGAGGCTGATGCAACAAAGCTTTCTGAAGCCATTCAAAGAAGGGAGCAAAATGTATGTATAGATGATGAAGCTGCTTCTGCAAGTCAATGCAAAGAAGAACATTTGGCAGATGAGAAGTCCCTTTTGGATGTCCAGGAAAAAGGGTCAAGCACTTCGCTCAGTGAATATGAACAGTGTCTCCCTAGTGAATCTCAGAACATGGCTACAGATGAATTACTTCCCGAAAGGTACTTATTTTTATAAACTAACTGTAGTGGAGATTTGTTTGTTTACTGAACTTCAGATAAGATAGCGTATTGGGAGGGTGGCTCTATTCATTTTTTTAACTACATAGCGTTAAGAGCTATGTAGCTCTAGAGAAAAACTTCTCTAATTATCTACTTAGAAAAAATTGTAAATCTTTACCCTTTTCAAAGGAAAATGTTAATGATTTGATATAATTAGCAGTACCCTAAGCTGGGGCTATAGGAAGTTAGAATTTCAGCAGCTCTTTCTATTTATTCTTAGCCCTGCCACAGCTGCCATTCTGCATATAGTTGTACAGGTCCAAATGAACTCAGTGGAGCTTATTTCTGAGTACACATGTTTGTGATTACACAGTTACAGCACTATGATCTCTTATTTGTCAGCTGTGATCCGAACAGTCTTTAGCATCTAAAAGCCAAACACTTCTACTTTTAGGTGAAGTGCAAGCTTGTTTACAGTAAGCACACTTGGTGCAAGCAGCTCATGAAGGCTCCCACTGAAATAAATCTGTTAGTCTTTAAGGTGCCACAATACTTAGTGTTTTGTTTTGTTTTTGTGTCTAAATGGGTTACCTCTTTAAAATGTTGTTTTTAATACATATTTTGTAGGACTTGTTCTGATTACTTTGAATGTCAGAGCCATCTTTGTTTGAATAATGCTCAAGCCTATAAATTTAGGTCACCTTCTCCTTTAACTAACGATGTCCCTGCTTTTTCCACAACCTCAGCAATTTTCGTGAGCTCTGTCATTCTCTCCTTGCTGTACCTGAGAAGGACTCTATAGCCGTAGCAGTCAAAGACATCTCAAATGAGGAAAGAGATGACATCAGAGTAGAAAGGTACAGTGGAAAGCATTAATTATTTTAGAGGGTGGGACTGCTCCGTTTTAAGAATCATACTTTTTGAGTGCATGAAAAAGAACTAGAATTGAACCCTGCTACTTTTTTTTAGCAGTAGAGATGTTAAATCACATTGTTATGGTGTTCTTTTAAATTTTAATTGGTGCTTCAATTCAACTGAACCAGCATTTTCTGGGATTTAGCGTGAGAATCTGTTTTCAGTGTTTGGAGTCAGCCCTGAGCCATGTAAATTAATAACACAGAGTGCTTTTGTAAACTATATTGTTCTTTCCCCTCCCCTCATGAGTAAGCACCATGGTTTTCATACATATATATAATTAAGGGCAGAGTCCTTGCAGAGTATATGTTGTGATTTCAAGTGATAAGCGACTTCATTTTGTTTTGTCATTAGAGATCTATTATTAATAGCTGGCCAGCATACATAGTAAAATAAAGTTTTCTTAGTTCAGGGATGGTGATGAGGGATGCTTCTTTTTATGCAATGGCCAACATCCAGTTGCTTAATGTAGTAAGTTATACCGGAGGAGGCCTGTCTAACACTGATTTCCTGAGTGACTCTAAATTAAGTTGAATCAATTAGACCTATGCTAATTGTGACTTACTATGCTAACATAAGATGCAGTTAGAGTAGATCCATTTGAATCAACAGAGTTTACAAAGGAGATAAGATGCAGTTAGAGTAGACCCATTTGAATCAACAGAGTTTACAAAGGAGTTGACTCACTAAATCACTATTGATTCAATGGGCCTCCTCTAGTACAATTTACTGCATTCAGCAAAATGATTTGGTCAGTGTCTCTAAAAGCTTCTAAAGGCATAAGAACCTTGTCTGCGCACAAAAACATCTGGTGTCTAGAGATGGGGTATTTCTATATGAATATCTCTGTGCAGCTGGACTTCATGAGGTTCCGGCTCCTGGAGCCAGACCATCCACTCACACATCTGGTGGCAGCGGCAGCAGCCTCGTTCTTCCTTCCAATCGCTCCTGGAGCCCCGCTCAGCTAGCCATTCCGTTCTTCTTTCCAATTGCTCCTGGAGCCCCGCTCAGCTAGACATTCCTGGCAATGGGAGGGAGGACGGGTCTCCCTGCAAGGCTGATGAGTTGCTAGCTGGGCAAGAAGACAGGGAGCGATTGGAAGGGAGAGCGAGGCCACTGCTACTGCTGGATGTGTGAGCGGATGATCTGTCCCCGGGAGCCGGACCCTTGTTAAGTCCAGCTGCAATGATTGGAAGGGAGAGTGAGGCCACTGCTACTGCTGGACGTGTGAGCGGATGATGGTCTGTCCCCAGGAGCCGGACCCTTGTTAAGTCCAGCTGCACGGTGATATTTGTATATGAATACCTTCATCTCTACTGGTGACACTTTTTTGCTCTTGGGTTCAAACTCTGGTTCTGTGTAGTTCCCAGTTTGAGCCCTATTTGTTACCTTCTTTCATCTTATGAAAATGTGAATGTATTTGGCCAGGTATGAGGCATGTAGCATAAATGAGGGATCCCTTTAAAAATTGAGATTTGGAATAAAAATCTCGTTAGTATGCATGGCTGGCTGGATAACTCAGTAATTTGGGTACCTGCCTGTGGAGCCAGAGGCTGGGAGTTTGATTCCCCCACTGTTCTTTCTAGAAAGAGGAGCTATGTGTAGCCTTGGTCAAGATCCACAATCGCAGTGTGCCCCCTGAGAAGGGAATGCTCCACTCCTTCTGAGTACTCACTACCTAGAAAATCCTAGAAATCTCTGCTTATTCTTTTGAACATGAAGCTGTTGCTTTTTTTTTATGAGCAGGAAAATGTTTTTCAATCTTTGGGCTCATTTATGAGAAATTTGCATTCTAAAGCTTTTGAATGTCTCAGAAAAGTGTTATTCAGAGATACTGTACATTGTTCTTATGGGTTTTTTTACAGCTTCCCTTGCTTCCTTCATTTTATTAATTAAGAGGGAGCCACTTCTTTTTCCAGCTAATCCTGTCAGTTGAGAGGAAAATGGGTAGAATGTGCATCTGTCCAAAAATGATAATGGGTGGTAAACTTTGATACCTGTGGTAAATGGGGTGGTGCCTTCAGCAGCAGCTGGTGATTCATAACTCTGTAACTGCATAGTTGCATATGCTTGAAGAATTTTTATCACCTGTTTTTCCAGTCTGAGTATTCATCCCAAGTGGCGACAGCTGCCACTTTTTGCAAAACAGCTTACTTTTTTTAGCTGCATGCCTGTGGAATATATACATGTTGCATATTGCACACACAGGAATGAAGAATAATGGGCAGCAGAGAGACAAGAACTGAGAGCTTCCTAAGGCAATTAGCAAGGAACATTGCTTTTGTTCAGACTTGCCTATTTTAGAACTGTATAATTACAGGATGAAGCAAAAGTAGATCTATTATCACTTTGCCTGTACCTTGCTTTATAATGCCTTGTACGACTCATTCATAGACATACTGTATGAGAACTGGAGAATCATAGACACAGTCGTGTATGAAAGCTAGTTGTTCCTTCCCTTGTGGTGGTGTTGCTTCCTGCATTTTCTACCTTTTGAGTCTATCTTTCACTGGTGATGGTGGGGTTATAGAAAGTGTATACATTTTTAATGGTATGGATGAAAGCTGTTGATTTTTTGACTTTGGGTATAGGAGACTTCTGGTGTATGGCTTTCTGTACTTGTTGAAACAGAGTGTCAAGTGCTACAGTACTACTGAACTAGGGATATGTGCACAAGATAAGGGATACCTACAGAACAAATACTGCAGTGTTTTCTATCTTTCACTGGTGATGGTGGGGTTATAGAAAGTGTATACATTTTTAATGGTATGGATGAAAGCTGTTGATTTTTTGACTTTGGGTATAGGAGACTTCTGGTGTATGGCTTTCTGTACTTGTTGAAACAGAGTGTCAAGTGCTACAGTACTACTGAACTAGGGATATGTGCACAAGATAAGGGATACCTACAGAACAAATACTGTAATTCCCAGCAGCAAGCAAAAATGCTCAAAAGAGCAAAAGGCAGATGGAGAAGGCTAGGTGATTCTTGCTCCTCTATCTGTTTTTTCGTTCCCATTTTCAAACTGTTTTTTTCATTTGTGAACAAAAGAAAATATAGCAGTACCGCAGAAACTGCAAATCTTTCCTTGAATTGAGGGAGAATGTTAATAAGAGATACTAATAGATACTTATGCTAATAGAAAATACAAGCAAGAGGATTGTGTAAAGAATATTCCACCATGAACGTTGTCTGCACTTACATGCATCCTCTCTGTGTTACTAGAATTTAATACAATATATGAGAGAAAGATCTGTGGAAATGTACATAGTATAAATTCTGAGTTTTGTCAGACATCAGCTATGATAGACAAAACTAGTGCATTCAAAGAAACTTCACAACAAACACTACCATTTTTGACCTACATGTTGTAAATGAAAGAAGCTTGACGGTGACTGCTATGAGGTGAATTCCTATGTTTATCTGGATATAAAATACTTTATGAAACCAATAGAATGAAAACTTGGGGAGTAAGGCAGTTTGGTAGGCGTGCAGGCCTCAAACATCAGCCATCTAGATGTTTTAGTCTTCAATTCGAGAATACCTGGGCATTAGTTGTATTTGCTGGTGCTTCTGGTCGCTGAACTCCAAAGCATCTGGAGGGTTTGAACTATTGCAATGGAGATTGACCCCTTCAAACTTTCTTTTTGATCTTTGGCAGAATTATAGTATTTATTAATTGTAGTTATCATCGTCATTGTCATTGTAGCTGCAGCAGCAGCACTTACAGTGTATCACAGAGGTGAGTACAACTTCTCACATTTCATAAATATTTTAGTATATCTTTTCATGTGACAACACTGAAGAAATGACACTTGGCTACAATGTAAAGCAGTATGTATACAGTGGTTTAGACATTAATGGCTGTGTGTTGTGTTATTTTGAGGGGACAGCACATTTACACTATTATACAAGCTGTATACTCACTGCTTTACATTGTGATATACTGTATGCACTATTAAGTCAGAAGTGTCTTGTAGTGACCCTAATAGGTGAGTGACATATTTAAGGAGTGGTTTTACCAGTTCTAGGGACATGGTGGCGCTGCGGACTAAACCGCAGAAGCCTGTGCTGCAGGGTCAGAAGACCAGCAGTCATAAGATTGAATCCATGTGACGGAGTGAGTACCCGTCGCTTTGTCCCAGCTCCTCACCAACCTAGCAGTTCGAAAGCATGCAAATGCGAGGAGATAAATAGGTACCATCCCGGTGGGAAGGTAAAACAGCGTTCCCTAGTCACGCCGGCCACGTGACAATGGAAACTGTCTTCGGACAAGCACTGGCTCTACGGCTTGGAAAAGGGATGAGCACCACTCGACTAAAAATGTCAAGGGGAACCTTTACCTTTACCTTTTACCAGTTCTACTCTCCCAGTGAATTTCCATGGCTGAGCAGGAATTCAGATTCAGTCTTCCAGAGTCCATGGTCTATTATTCTGTCTACCACACCACATTGGGTACCTATTTATTAATTAGTTTATATTATCTGTCAGAATACAAGTTTTCTCAGATCAGTTTACACAATATCATAAAAAATGTGTGGAAACAATACCTATGACCTTTAACATGAAATAACAGTGCAAAAAAGTTTCCAGGCAGATCACTGAAACCATTTTACACACAATATAGGGATAACAAGAGACAGCTTTAAAATCTGTCATGCACTGAAAATCATATTGTAAATGCAAAGGTCTTTTAGGCTGCTTAAAAATAATTTAAAAAGAAAGAATCAAATATACCTCTCTCAAGAGTGACAATTCAACCCTATTGTGCTGGTTGTAATGCTTTGGGAATAGGCATAAACTTGCATCTGCAAGCTGCTGTTAGAGATCTGCTAGCAGAGGGATTTATCAACAGAACTGCTCTACTAGCTAACATCTGCTGGTAGAAGACAGGGCTGCAATTAAGGCAGGGCAACCAGGGCTTTGGCCCATGGCACCAGAATT